CCGTCGCCTGAGCACAAAGGAGCGAGAGTGCCGCCGCCGCCGCCGCGTCCCGCCGGCTGCCGAGCCGAGCCCAGCCGAGCGCGTACAGGGGGCGGGGCGGGGGCGGGGCCTACCGCGGGCAGGTCTGAGGCCCGTGCCCGCGGACGCCGGGTCTGAAGGTGGGGCCTGCAGTGCCAGGGGGCGGGGCCTGGTGGGGCCAGGGCTGACTCCTGGAGCAAGAGCGGGCCAGGGAGCAGGGGGCGTGGCCTAAGCGGAGGCGGAGCCTGGAGAGCAGGCGAAGTGGCCTGGAGCAGGGGGCGGTGCCCAGCTGGTCCTGGGTAGCGGGCCTGGACCAGGAGGCCGGCCGGGAGTGGGGCGGAGCCTGGGGAGTCCGTGATGAGGCCGGGGGCAGAGGGCGGGGCCTAGTGGGGTCCCGGATGCGGCAGACGCCTGGAGCGGGAGGTAGGTCGAGAGAGGGCGGGGCCTGGGAGCGGGCGACGAGCCCGGGGGCAGGGGGCGGGGCCTAGCGCGGTCGGAATGAGGCTGATGCTCCGAGCCCGAGGCTGGCAGGAACCTGGAGCAGGGGGCTGGGAATGGGGAACCTGGAGCCGGGAACGGAGGGAGGGGACTCGGGAACCCGGAACGGGGACTTGGGATCCGGGAACGGGGAGTGCGGGGGCGGAGAGCCCGGGGGCCCGGACTGGGAGGCGGGGAGCGGGGAGCTGCGCCGAGGCGGATCCCCGGCCGCGCGGGTGGGGTCGGCTCTCAGCCGCTTGCCCCACCCAGACCCCAGGCCCCGCAGTCCAGACCAGCCTCCGCCCGGCTCTGTCCTCTCCAGGCGCCTGCCTGTCGGGCGAGCTTCGAGAGCAGCCAGCAAAACCCTGGAAAATCCTGTCAGTGACAATCACAATGAGAATCACAGTTTTCTTAACAGATTTTTTCCTCTTATGAGTAATACGTGAATATCAATAATTTCACTATCGAGGAATAACTACTATCAACGTTTATGGGTAGTTCCTTACAGTACCTTTACCACATAGTTTCGTTATATATATTATTTTTCCTTGTATATATTGCCTTTTTTCCTTTTTTTTTTTTTTTTTTTTTTTTTTTTTTTTTTTTACAGAATTCTGAATCACAGTAATTCAACTTTAAGTAGGTAACCAGATGTCTGGGAAAATAATAGTGCATGTAGCACCTGGCAGCATTAGTTAATAAGAAATTAGGCACCTCGTGCCTAACAAAGGAAATTGTTAATTTATGGTATAAACGTACAACACATTCCTCTATTCGTTAAACAAACATGTTGATTACCATGCGAATGGAGCACTTTGGGAGGTGCCCCAGATGCAGTGAGGGAAAGCAGCAGTATATCAATTCAGGGGGTGATTAGTAATGCATGGGAAATATGAATGAGGCAGGTTCTGTTTCCTTTCCAGGAATTTATAATCTAGTAGATGAGGCAGGGAAGAATATTTCAGTAGGCGAAACAGTACCTTTTTTGTTTGGACCAGAAAGGTAGAACTATGCTGTAAACTCATTGCAAGCTTGAATTCTGGAGCAGACAGAATTCAACCATTTTTCTTTTCATACACCAGGCTGATTTTAATCTCATTATGTCTGTAAGATGTGCACCATAATGACTTCCATCCTTCCTGGGAAAGCAGCACCCCATTTTGTAAGATGCCTTGTCATCTGTAATAACTAGAGGGAGGGATTACTTATGCCTCTTTATAGTGCCTGCTGCAGTGGACAGAACTGAGACACAGATAAGCTGAGAACTTGCACAAGGACAAACGGTGTGCCTGGGGCAGAGCTGAGAATAATTGCCAGACCTAGTTTCCAATCCAGTTAGATTTTTTTAACTTTGGAATATATTTTGCATAAAGAGCCTTAAGGCCTAGGAAAATAAAGTAGGTTATAGTGGCACCATACTTAGAATGCCGTCTTTCCTCATTTAAGGTTACTTTCTGGTTTTCAGAGTTGCTAGGAGTATGTAGATATTTATTTATTTTTATGTACATATTTAAGTAGCTGAAATAGATCGTCAACCTAGATATGATGATGGGTCCCTAAGATAGCCTGCATGATAATTGTGGATGGAAAAGTTATAAAGGGTGTCCAATGAGTACTCCAAATTCCAGTGTTCTGGTTGGTTGGTCCCAAGTTTTGCCCAACTCATTATTACCAATTATGGATTTTCTTTGGGATTCTTGTTTTTACAAAGCTCTGGGGCAAAGGGAGGAAACCAGATTCATCACTCATGTGCTTTGATTTATTTGACAAAGCAACCATAAATAAGTGACAGAACATTCTCTTCTTGACCAAACTACTCTGTCTCCCCCCAAATTTTGACTAGGCTTAAATGTTCGGATTTGTGTATTTGTCTCTGCATTGTCCAGTTTTAGCAAGACTCCTGCTAAGTTGGTTGAGCTAGAATTCCCATCCCCCATATCAGATCGTCTTTGATATCTAATCAGTTTCTTCACCCCCCAGCCACCCCCAAGTGGTGTTGGCTCAACCCAGCCTGCCTTCAGCAAGAATCCTGCTGGGTCAGTTTAGCCAGAACCTGATGGTTAGCTGACCCTGCTGTTTTGTCGTAGTAATTTTCCACCCTCCATCGCCCACCCAGGGTAAAGAAGTTGCCCATGCTGTTCTCAGAGCCGAGTCTGATCTCTCTCCCCACTGCAAGCAAAAGTGGGGTCCTGGTTCCCACTTGCTGTAGCCTCCTCGGAGTACAGTCCACCTTACTATGCTTTAACACGTCTCACTAAACGATGTTTTTGACTAATAATCTTTTTCTTTAACATAAGCAAACTTGTGTATTTGAAGAGGTGATTCGGAAATATGAAAGAAAAGAGGAAGACCCAAAATCCCAAAGTATCAAAATAAGATAACACAACCCCCCCCCCCCACCCCGCACTTAGGATTGCATTGTGTGAGAATTGCTTAAATGGGCTCAGGTGAAGGCTCGACGCCTCAGGTGAAGGGCTCGGGTGAAGGCACGTCCCAGTCAGAGGTGCGCAGAACTGCCCACACGCTGTGGAGACATCAGTGGGGCTGTTTTCACACTTGGAACAGGACATGGTCAACGCCGTGTCATGGGAGGGGAGACTGCAGAAGAAAGCAGGACCCAGGCTATGCACCACGCTAAGACACTGGCCTTCATTACTGCAAGTGAGAGGCTTTGCTGTGATGCCAGGTGATGGGTGAGGGCTCAGAGGAAGACCCACATCCGATTTGCAGCTGGCTGTGTGTGGGTAGCCCACTGGAACGGTGCCCTCAGCCTGGGCTGCAAAGTGGGAGCACAGCCTTACTGTTCTCTCTTGTCCATGACCCCCCATCAACCTCCCTCCATGGGGCTAGATCCATCTTTTAAGAAGGCAAATACACTTAAAATTGGACACCGAGCAGTGTCTCGGTCTGTTCCAGCCTGCAAAACAAAGTACCACAGACGGGGGGGTTTAAACAACAAACTGGAAGACTGCGAGTCTGAGATCAGGATGCTAGCAGGGACCCTCTTCCTGGATCACAGGTGACATCTTCTTTCTGTGAACCCACTCAGTGCAGAGGGAACCACCTCTCTGGTGTCTCTTCTCTGCGGGGCACTGACCCCATCATAGACGTTATCCCACCCTAACCACCTTCCAAAGGCCCCACCTCCAGATAGCATCATGTTGGCGTGAATTTCGGGGACACAGGCATTCAGTCCATAGCAAACGACTTCCCAGACTCCTGTCATTCAGATACCACTTCCACGTGGATTTTTACCACTTCTGCGTGGACTTTTGTATCCACAGAGGATCTGTGCTATTAATAATTTTCTTAAAATAACTTAATTTTTTGGAATTACTGACTTTACATTCTCTTTATTAAGAAAACACCAATGAGTTTATGGTGCCAACTACATTTTCCTCATTTAAGCAAATCCACAATAAAATAACACATGTTCACGTGCTTCCCAAATCAGTTCCCATGGTTGGTGGTGCTACACCACACTTTGGAAATTGCTCCTTGGGAGCAAAATCCCAGATCTGTTCCTTGGTCTGTTGACATGCCTACAGCCAGGGCCTGCCTGCCTCTCTGGACTTGTCTGTCCTCCTCACAGGCTGTCCAGGGAGCCCTTGAAACCAAGGGTGCTTCTGCTGAAGGCTCCCACCCCATTCCCAGCGCTTCTTTCCCCTGTTGTGACCAAATCATGCCTCCCTGAGTGCTTTAGAATGTGACCTGATTTGGAAATGGAATCATTGTAGATGTAACTAGTTAAGATGAAGTCATAGTGGGGTAGGCCAGCCCCAAACCCAGTGTGACTGGTGTCCTTATAAAAAGGGGCATCTGGACACAGATGCACACATGGGGAGAACACCATGAGGCAGAGATGGAGGGGTGCAGCAGAAGTCAAAGAACCCCAAGGATGGCCAGCAACACCAGAGGCAGGGGTACACCTGGGGCAGGTCCCCTGTCACAACCTCCTTGGGAGGTCCAGCCCTGCCCACACCCGGCCTCCAGAGCGAGAGGGCTTAATTCAGGTTGCCCAAGCCCGGTTTGCTGGGCTTGATTGTGGCAGCCTCAGGACACTTGCCCAGGACACAGGCTTTGCTGGGGAGGCTCCCCCACTGCCCCCTGCCCCCTGCCCACAATCCAATCCAAGTGCCTCTCCTTCCAGAAGCCTCCACCAGGCAACAGCTGGAGCCTCCTTCCCCTCTACTCCAGGGTTCCCAGGTGTCTGGCATTTTAGTTTCCTCCCACCCTTGGATGAAAACATTCAAAAACCCAGCAAGTAAATGTTACTCATTTTTAGTCATAAAAACTTGATTGTTAACAGGCCTTTTCTGAGATGGCCTCTCCACTTCCAACAGGCCTCTTGACGAGTAGAAACATGCTCCAAGCTTGCTTCTGGTGGCTCCAGGTGGGAAGGCAGAGAGAGGTGGCCTCTCTCTGCTCTGAATGGGAGCCCCCAGGCAGGGCCCAGAGCTTGCTCTGCAAACCAGTGTCCTGTTGAATAAAGTACTGGACGGATGCCTTTCTCTCTCGCACCCTCCACCTCTGTCTCTATGTCTGTCTGTCTCTCCATATTTCCATCATTGTCTCTCTGTCTCTCTCTTACTCTCCATCATCACTGTATCTTTCCTGTGAGGACAGAGCCCCACCCATGCTGAGCCTACAATACAAATTTGTTGAGTGACAGGAGGCTAAAGGCTGAAACTCAGATCAGTTGGCAGCTCCTTGT